CTCTTAATGCCTTTCGGAAAAGTTGACTGAAGAAGTCACAGGTTTCAGTTGGTTTTGACTGCTTATGAGCTATGCAAACTTTCGCAGATCTCATGGGCAGATCTGCACCCGTTTTCCTGATATGACTATCTTGTTCATTTCACATGGCTTTTGCATTCATGGCAGTGTAGTGGAAAGAACAATGGACTCAAATTCAAAAGACTCAGTTTCTAATTCCTGGCTCTGCCGCTTTAGGAAAAGTCATAACCTCTGTAAGCCTCAATTTCCCCACATGTAAAATAAGGGTGTTTGACAGTCTCTAACAATTGACATGATTCACATCTAGGATCAAACGAGACAATCCAGTGGAAAAGACTTTACTATCATAAAAGTCCATACAAATGCAAGGGATTATTATTACCTAGTTACCCATTAAGGACTCTCGGCAGACTCTCTGTCTGCCAGGATTAGTTTACAAGGTATCATTTAGAAAAACAGCAGGACCCTGAGGGAATGAAGGCACCTAGCAGAGCATGTAAGGCCTGGGAGTGATGTCATTGCTTGGGGGCTTTAGGCTGCTGGGGTAGGGAAGCAGAAGCATCGATTATCTAGGGAAAAAATAACAGCAAAAACAAGGCACTTTAGGATTGAGGACTTCAGAGCTGGAAGGAGCCTTAGAACATAAAGCAAAGAATACTAGAACTGAAGGGGAAAACATAGAATGTTAAGGCTCCGAGGGAGCTGGAAGCTGCTCAAGGTAATTTAGTCCAACTCCCACTGAAGTAAACCAGGAACTTGGAGGGGGAGGGGAAGAGGGAGGAAGAGGCCACCCATAGAGGGGAGGGCAAGATTCTTTCTCAATTTTGCCAAACACTGACCCTGCAGCCAGTGAACCTAAAACCCAGTAATTCAGAAAGCACGATTTCTCAAAGCCTTTTCTTTCTTTTCCTCTTTTTTTTTTTTAAATCATTCTCGTTCTAGTCTTAGCTTTGAAACCTGTAGGTAAGTGCCCTGCAGATGTGGCTAACTTGTGAGAAGTAGGTAGGGCCAGCTCTTTTGGAGCAGACACACAGTGTAATTTATGCATTCCTGCCTTAGACAGTTATCAGGTCTTTCTTAACCAACTCTTATTCCTCATTATTGCTACCCATTCCTTATCTGATTAGTTAAGGAACTTTAATTGGTGATTCCTCCTGGCTGAGACGGTTGACTCTCAATATTCTCAGTATCTGATGGCCCTTATTATTACATAACCTTTAGGTCAATGGCCTTCTTTAAGTCATGGGGGGTCAGGGGAAACGTATCTATTTTGGGATCTTGTTGCTATGGAATCCCTGTGAATTGACAGTTTACAGCAAACAGCTGTAAACCATACCCTAAGGGTCAGTGCCCTCTAGAATGGACTCAATTCTGGATTATGGGTTTGCAAATCATCTATTTGACGGATTCTGTAAGGATGACTGTCCAGTGACAAGATTTCAAATCCTTTGCAGTGTATGAATAACTGTGAGCTAGGGGAATACAGGGGGAGCCAGGTAGTGCAATGGATAGAGTGCCTGGAGTCAGGAAGACTCATCTTCCTGACTTCAAATCTGGCCTCGGTCACTTACCAGCCGAGTCAACCTGGGCAAGTCATTTAATCCTGTTTGACTAAGTTTCTTCATCTGTAAAATGAGCTAGAGAAGGAAATGGCAAACCACTCTAATATCTCTGCCAAGAAAATTCCAAATGAAGTCATAAAGAGTTGGACATGACTGAAAAATGACTGAACAACAATAAAGGGGAATAAGAACCCTCGGATCACTGCCTTGTCATTGTGGATGGGGCTTACATAACTCAGTGAAACTAAGAGCTATGCTGTGCAGGGTTACCCAAAATGCACATTGTAGAGAGGTTATGGTAGAGCTCTGACAAAGGGTCATCCTCTGGTGAAAGAAATGACTTTCCGCTCCAGGATCTTCATTAAGAAACCTCATGAAGGGGGCAGCTAGGTCGCGCAGTGGATAGAGCAACGGCCCTGGAGTCGGGAGGACCTGAATTCAAATCCGGCTTCAGACGTTTAACACTCACCTGCTGTGTGATGTTGGGCAAGTCACTTAACCCCAAATGACTCATAAAACCCCCCGAAACAAAACAAGAAACTTCATGAAACAGAAGAGATGGGTGTTCTACGGTCCACTGGGTTATGAAGAATAATGGTAATGCCATTAACCTAAGCAAAACATTAAGTAAATTGGTAAGTCAGTGTCCTATCTCCCCCCATGGAATATCATTTGTACTAGACAAAAAGAAAGACTTCCTCATGATTAGGGTGGTTGAAACTTCTGTTAGGAATAGAATAGACTAAAATGGAAGGGTGTGAAATCTCTTGGTGAACACCTACAGGAACAACTCTATTTTGAAAGAGTTCACAGTAAGGAATTGTAATGGCTGACCCTTTGAACTTCCTTTGAATTTCTCTGCTTTGGTGTAAATAATATTTTAATTTCAGTGAAATTGTTGAGAAGCAATGTAGAGCAGTGGACAGACAGAAATGGACAGCTGGCAGGCATTCCAGTCAGGAAGACCTGGGTTTACTCTCTGCCTCTGACATAAACCGGCCATGTGACCCTGGGTAGGTCACAGTGTTCCAGGCAACTCAGGATTATACATTGTATTACTACAGAAAGTTTCCTAAATCAAAGAAATCACAGATCCAATCAACCAGTCAATAAACATTTATTAAGTTCCTACTTTGTGCCAGACAGGTACTGTGCTAGGTGTTAGGGATACAAATACAATTGAAAATAAAGACAGCACCTGCCCGCAAGGAACTTATCATCTAATGGGAGAAGACAATACACAAAAGGAAGCTGAAATCGGGGAGAAGACTGGACACCAGGGCCATGATGGAGGGGGTCCAAAGAAGTCCAAAAGCAACATGGCTGGTGGGCAATGGGGAGAAAACTGTTCTAAGCACCCTTCTTAAATGGAAGCCCTGCAGCCCATGGCCCTGCCTTCCAGTCAGATGGTCTAATCAGAGGGGCAGAGGCTACAGATGATATGTGAGTACACAGGCAGATTCAATCTTGTAGGTTAAATGAGATTTCCCAATGATGAGTCCTTAAAAAAATTGTTATTTTGTCTTGGTCCACATAATCTATATCAATTGTATTGTATTCTTCCATTACATAAGTTCATACTGCCATCACATGAGGAAAAGCCAATGAGAATGAATGGACAGAGAATTCAGACACGGACTTAGAAGGAGGAAAGTGAAAAAGTCTTTGGCTGCTTTTTGCCCAGAAAGTAATTAATTTAAATGAAAGTAGTTGCCAATTAAATAGAATTGTTTGTGTTGATGTTCATTGTTAAGTTTGTGGTATGCTATCCATTAAAAAAATTCAGCTGCGATCCTCTGCAGCAAATGTTTAGCTCTAGTTGAATTGGGAATTTAGAACAGAGTAGTGAGTGATGAGGATAACACAGCATGGAGCAGTGATTTCAGTGCTTTGGGCATTTTGACAGAGATCACATCTCTCCCTCTGCAGTAGATCTAGGACCATAGAATTCTAGAGTGGTCCCGGATCTTAAAGACTGACCGACTACTTCATTTTAGAGATGAGGAAACTGAGGCTTAGAGACATGAAACTACTTGCTCAAGATAGTCTTCAAGAGCTGCTATTGTTGAAGAAATTAATCTTTACCTGGTGACTGATTTTCTGATGATTTAGACTTACCTAGCCTGGCCCTCTAATGATGTATGAGGGAGTCCAAACTTGGGACATTTGCAGCCTAGCATGAGAGGACAGAGCTAGGTTTCTGATAGGTGAACCCAGGGTCATTTTCACACCATGATGAGACATTAGAGTTGGATTTTTGAAGGACATTATCATCATCATCTCATCATCAAAAATTGACAAAAACTCTTTATATAGTACTTTAAGATGTGCATATCATCACAAATTTTAACCATCTGCAAAATCAGTATGCAGACTGAACTATGTCAGAAATTTTACAATCCTTGTTGTTATTCAGTCATATCTGACTCTTCATGATCCTGTTTGGAGCATTTGCTCCTCCAGTTTATTTTACAGATGAGGAAACTGAGGCAAATTAGGCTTAAGTGACTTGCTTAGGGTCACACACCTAGCAAGTATCTGAGGTCAAATTTGAATCCGCGTCTTCTTAACTTCTTAACTCCAGGCCCTATGCTCTATCCCTAGAACCACCTAGCTGCCCTATTTACTGACTTTTAAACCATATTAGCCCTATTCCCTAATTGCATCAACTTGTAGCTGTGATGTTGTGAAAAGAACACTGGCTTTCTAGTCTAAAGACCTAGGTATTCTGGTCTCTAACACTTATTTGCTGTGTGATCTTGAGTTGCTTCTCCTCTCTGGGCTTCAGTTTCCTCAGTTGTTAAATGAGAGGATTGGTCTAGATACTCATTAAGGTCCCTTTAAGCTGTAATGAACTTTGATCCCATGGCATACCTTCCCTTTCCTCACAGGAAAGAAGAGAAAACATATTCCCAGGTGAGTCATTCCCAAGACAATAGAAAAGTCCCCATCGAATCCAAAAGGGAAGAGAGAGGGTACTAGCTGGAGAGACAGATACCAGATTCTTACCTTATTGGGCCATTAAGTACAATGCTAAGGAATTTTCCATCTAGGAATTGTGTCACTAAATGAAGAAATGAATATGCTAACTAGTCAGCCTAAAATGAAAGTGGTTACAAATTCTAATGTTAATGAAGTTTCTCCAGGTGACTTGGATGTCATATCTGAGCTACTAGGAAAAGCACCAGATAGGAAACTGTATCTGAAGTTCAAGGACCTGGTTTTGAATCCTAGACCTTAGTAAGTCACTTAATCTTTCTTAGGCCTTAGTTTTTTCAACCTGTAAAATGAGAGGGTTGGAACAGTTGATCGCTAAAAGCCCTTCAGGTAAAGAAATAATGTGAAATGTAAATGAATAAATACAGATGATGTTTTAAACATATTGTATTTATTTTTCTGTGTTCATATAACTCCTAACAGGATATGAACTCTCTGAGGGCAGAGACCACCCTGGTTTTGTCATCGTTTGCTCAGTGCCTCGAAAGATGCCTGTCACATAGTAGGTACACCATAAATGCTTGCTGAATAAATGATTAGCAATAAAAGGTCATATTTCTCTAGCCCTTTCTAGTTTATGAAGCTCTTTACTCATGACCACCCCATCAGGTAGTGTAAGCATTTTGATCTTCATAGGTGAGGGAACTGGGGCTCTGAGAAGTTGAATAATGACAAAACAAAAACAAAAACAAGCAACGCTAGAGTTAAAAGACCTGGGTTCCATTTCTGGCTCTGCTACCTTGGGCTTACCTGACCTTGGGCAAATCACTTCCCCTCACTGGGTTTTAGTTTTCTCAGCTTTATAACATGAGGGTTGGATTAGGTGCCCTTCAACTCTAAATGCTATGAGCCTCAGTGATTTGCCCAAGGCCACAAACTAATACAGAGATTCTTTCCACACTACCATGCTGTTGAGTGCCAACTATGCCCAATGCATTATGGAAATACAAAAGAGAGAGGGTAGCGATATGCAGAATCAAAAGGCCTGGTTCAAATCCCAACTCTGTGGTTAACTATGTGGGCAAGTCATTTACTCTCTGGATTTCTTCCCAAGTCTAAATGTAGCCGAATATGCCACTGACGCTGTCATAGAACTCACATTCTAGCTGAGAGAACATTTAGGTGGCAAGATCTAAATACATAAAACATGTGAAAGAATGACTTAATTGAAAAGCATTTGTTAAGTTTATAACACGTGTCACGCACTATACGAAACACTAGGATACAGGTATGAGTGAGCAAGGCAATCTCTACCCTTAAGGAATTTATATTCTAATCAGAGGATGCAACTCATAAAGGGGATCTAGGAAGAGAGGGTTTGAGAGTACCTGTGCAGAAGTAATGAGGAGGTCCTAAAAGCTGAGTTATGATTATAATAGGAGAGGGAATGAGGAAGCTGAACACAGAGGACAATCGATGTCTCATAAGCAATTGGCAAATGAGTGCTATGGGCAATGGTTGCTATAAGTTCAATGAAGGGAGAAATTGCTGTGGACTATCTTCACAATATGAACTGACAGGTTTAGGGAGGATATTTTTGTTTTTATTTTTTTAATTTAGAAGTTCTACCATTATACATGGTTAAGTGCAGGTGGATAAAGTCTTCCTGAATGACTCCCATCCAACATTGACCTAGAAAGTCTAGAAATAGGGTTCTATGTATCACATCTTCTGAAAGTGTCTTTTAAGTTTAGGGATGTTGCCAGATTCCATTCTATTCAACGACTTTTTATTACTCACTTATCATATAAGGGTATTGTGTGAGATGTTAGGGATATAAAATGAAAACAACAACAAAAACCAAAACATGGCTCCTGTCATGAAATTTTTAATCTAGTAGGGGATAAAACATGTACACAAATAATCAAAATACAAGTTAATCATCAGTTCAGTTTAGGAAGGATGTTGATAAATTAGAGAGCATACAGAAGAGGGCAACTGGGATGGCTTGAGTCCATGTCATAGGGGATCACTTGAAAGAACTGGGCATGTTAAGCCTGAAGAAGAGAAGATTTAGAAAACATGACAGCTATTTTCAAGTGTTTGAGGTACTGTCACATTGGAAGAAGGATTTGATGTGTTTGGCCTGACCCAGAGAGTATAATGGGTGCAATGGGTAAAAAGTTATAAAGAGGCTGATTTAGGTTTGGTGTAAGAAAAAAACAACAACTTTCTTAATAATTAGAGCAATCTGGGGTGAAGCCAAGATAGTGGAATCCAGGCAGCAATCCAATTGAACTCTCCCAACATTCCCCTCTGAACAACTTTAAAATAACTCCAAAAATAAGATGTTGGAGTGGCAGAGACAACAAAAGTTCAGACTGAGACATTTTTCCAGCCTGAGACAATGTAGGAGATTGGCAGAAGAGCCTGTGACAGCAGGGTGGTCATGGCAATGGTGGCAGTAGCAGAAGCTTTGGGAACTCTCAGTCCAGAGGTGGTAAGGAGTCAGAGAACTGATCAGAAAGTGATTACAGGGGACCCTTTGTTGGTACTGGGTTCAGCTAACACTGATTGGCAACTCTATTGCCCATACGCAGTTCTGGATCACAATTCTAGGGTGGAAAGGGGTGCTAGTGTTCTGTCACAAGGAAGCAGGTGCCCTAGTCACAGTTTCAAGTCAGAGAGGAGCACAACTACTTGCAGGAAAGTAGGGACCCTGTTCACAGTTCCAGAGCCAAAAGGACTAGTACTAATGGCTGCAGGGAAGCAAAGACTAGAGCATGGACGAAGAGAGCAATGACCATACTTCTCCCTGGGTCACTCTACTTTGGAAGCACCCCAAACTGGCAGACCCCCAGAACTCACTCTGAAAATAGCAGCATGAAAAAGCCTGAAGCTTGGGACAGGGCCTCCTCACCCCTAGTTGAGCAGAGCCCAACTTTAGCATAAAGTTCAAAATCAAGAAGTAGACTAGAAAAATGAGCAAACAACAAAAAATTTTGACCATAAAAAGCTATTACAGTGGCAGGGAAGACCTTGACATAAACTTAGAAGACAACAATATAAAAACAGTTAAAACCAGATCCTTGCAGAAAAATATTAATGGGACCCAAGCCCAACAAAAATTGCTGGAAGAGTTAAAGAGGTAAGAGTGGTAGAGAAAAAATTTGGGAAAAAATGAATGATATAAGAAAATTATGAAAAGAGAATTAAAAGCTTGGTAAAAGAGGCGCAAAAAAAATTAAAGAAAATAATACCTTAGAAAACAGAATTGGCCTAATGGTATAAGAAAGACAAAAATTCACTTGAGGAAAGAACTTGTTAAAAAGGAGAATAGGCCAAATGAAAAAATGGGTACAAAAGTTCAAAGAAGAAAATAATTCCTTAAAAATTAGAATTGGGCAAGTGGAAGCTAATGACTCTATGAGACGTCAAGAAATGATAAAACAAAGTCAAAAGAATGGAAAAAAAATAGGAGAAAATGGAAATATCTCAACAGAAGAACAAGTGACATATAAAATAGATCAAGGAAAGATAATTTAAGAACTATTTTCCTACATGAAAACCATGATCAAAGAAAGAGCCTAGACATCATACTTCAAGAAATTATAAAGGTAAACTGCCCCAATATCTTAGATCCAGAGGGTAAAATAGAACTTGAAAGAATCCACTGATCATCTCCTGAAAGAGATCCTAAAATGAAAACTCCTAGGAATATTATAGTCAAATTCCAGAGCTCCCAGGTCAAAGAGAAAATGTTGCAAAGAGCCAGAAAGAAACAATTCAAATATGGAGCCACAGTAAGGGTAACACAACATATAGCACAGCTTCCACATTAAAGAAGTTAGGTCTTGGAATGCGATATTCTAGAAGGCAAAAGAGCTAGGATTACAATGAAGAATACCTAGTAAACTGAGCATAATCCTTCAGAGGAAAAATGAATATTTAATGAAATAGAGGACTTTTAAGCATTCTTGTTGAAAAAAAGCAGAGCTGAAGGGAAATTTGACATTCAAACACAAGACTCAAGAAAAGTATAATAAGGTAAATAGGAGACTCAATAAAGTTAAATGGATTGCATTCCTATATGGAAGATGATACATTTAACTCCTAAGAATCTTATTAAGGGTGTCAGAAGGAGTCTACATAGATAGAGGGCATAGGTGTGAGTCAGTTATGTTGGGATTGATCTAAAAAAAAATGAAGTTAAGAATGAAGGACAGGGACGCAGGAAGACTCATTTTCCTGACTTCAAATCTGGCCTCAGACACTTGCTAGCTGTGTGTCCCAGGGCAAATCACTTCACCCTGTTTACTTCAGTTCCACATCTATAAAATGAGCTGGAGAATGAAAGGGCAAACCACTTCATTATCTTTGCCAAGAAAACCCTAAATGGGGTCATTAAGAGTGGGACATGACTGAACAACATATGTGTGTGTGTGTATATATACATATAAGGTAATAAGGGTTTGAGCTAGAAGGCTCTTAATGTGAGTAGAGAGGAGATGGCGAATACAAAAGACATTAAGGAAGTATAATTAATGAGACCTAGCATCTGCTATGGGTTGAAGGGATGAAGGAGATTAAAGAATTCATGATTATTCCAAAGTAGTGAGCCTGGGAAGATGATAGGACATGCAATAGAAAGAGCAAAATTATAAGGACAGGCAGATTTCTCAGAGAAGATAATGAGTTCAGTTTTGGATATGTTCATTTGGAGGTGTTGGAGGGAATATTCAGGTGGAATATATGGGAATTGTAATTAGAGATTATGGGATATTGGGGCTGGAAATATAGAATTAGGAGTCAACTGAAAAGAGATGATAGTTGAAGTCACAGGAACAGATAAGATTTCTCAGAGATAAAGTACAGAAAGAAGAAAAGGAGACTCTGACGACAAAGTTATGGGGTGTGATGAAGAAGAGACACCAGTAAAAGATCAATTAGAAAGCTAGAAAAGAGCAGTGTCGTCAGCCAAAAAAGAATAACGGAATTAGAACTAGAAGGCACCTTAAAAGTCATCAGTCTAGGGGTGTCAAACTCAAATAGAATCAGAGCCTCTAAACCATACATAAGGATCCCTGTGGACCACACATTGACTTAGAAAACCACATATTAATATTATCTATGTTGTATTTTTATTTATTCTGTTAACTATTTACCAATTAATTTTTTTTTCTGGTTCCAGAGGGCTCTGTTCAACACCTCTGGTCTAGTCCAGCCCTCTCATTGAACAGATGAGGAAACTGAGTCCCAGATCAATAAAGTAACCTGTTCAAAGTCACACACACAGAGTAAGTGTTAGATCTGAGATGAGACTGGAATCCAGGTTCTTGGACTCTAAATCCTGCGCTCTTTTGACTGCACCACCCAATATCCTTAGGAAATGCCATCACTACCACCTAGGCCATATGTTTAGAAGTTGCTCAGTTGTTTCAATCATGTCCAACTCTTCATGACCCCATTTGGGGTTTTCTTGGCAAAGATACTAGAATGTTTGCCATTTCCTTCTCCAGCTCATTTTACAGATGAGGAACTAAGGCAAAAAGGGTGAAGTGA